AGACAGGATCTAAAAAAGGGGCATGAGTTGTGTGATGGAAGTGATTTGAATGTCTTATCTAAGATTCAACTCTTTGGATAGATAGAAGTTTGAATTTAATTTTGCATGCAATGCAAAGGGGATACAATTGATTCTGGTTGAAATACTATCCTCCAGCTAATTCATGTCCATCATGTATGCTGGCACTAAACTCCTGTGTTTGAGCCTGGAATCAGACTCACCTGTTAGAAACCTACAGGCTTTACAAGCTGAAATTACATATGAAATACCTGATCATAAAAGTAAAAGAGAGGTAAAAAATAAAGTTAAGAAAAAATAATTGGAGTCGAGGTAAATGTCAGAGGTTAAACCTTGTGTCTTGATCTCGGTTCAGTGTCCTTAAATCATTTTGTTTTGTCTGCAGTTAGCTAAGCATACTCAGTTTGACTTATGGAATTCACACCGTTCTTTTTGCCATGTTTCTGATGGTAAATGAGCTGTAACATCTGTCAGCAAAAGCACTCAACGGGAGGCAATTAGCGGGGTGACCTGCACCTTTGTTTGTTTATCCTTTTACAGAAAGACTGAGTGACTTACAAGGCCTGTTGTTTTGAGAGTTTTGTGTTACACGGAGCGGAGGAAAGATCTCGTTTAAGAGTCATATATGTGAGTTCAGTGTTTTCTGTGCAGTTTGCATTGGCTACAGTTATAATTTAACTTTTCTGCACAAGCTTCTTCCCAGCACAATGAAAGTTACAGATGTGCCATGTGTTCAGTTGTGCATTTACACATAGGATCAACGGGAAAAAATTCAGGGGTATAATTTGTTAGAGAGACAGATTATAAATGCTGCACGATAAATCAAAGTGTCAGAGGTAAAGGCTGTAATAATTCATGGAGGGAAAACCAGATGCTGTTTGAGTTACATATGATTAGTCTATGATGGCCTTTACTTTCCAGCTGTTGTTTAGCAATCGAGTGAAGTAATTCACCTTTGTATTGCTGTCAAACTTAATTATTGGTTTTACTATATTTCCCAGAATTCCCTTTCATTCACGAAAATTCTGGACTCTACTGCAAGTGCTCCTCTCATAGTGTGGGAAAAACAGGATTTTGAGGTGCATCCCTAGTGATCAGCAGTTTTTTTATGTTGTAATGCAAAAAAGCAGACAGGAAAAAAGTTCAGTAACATCTTATAACAACTTAATGGATTGAGTCACTTACCTCTCATTACTCACACCTCATTTATACCCGTAAATCTTGTGTTTCCTGTCTCAACATCGCTCCTGCACATCACTTATACAAAGACCTCTATGACCTCCTCTGGCACACGGTCACTCCTAAATCAAAGCACAAACTAACAAGTCAATTAGCTTTCTTTTCCTGTTGATAAAACAAATCAATTAACTCTCATTTCCTGTACATCTAAAGAGAACGTTAGCTCTGGTTTCCTGTTTGTTTCCTGTAGGATCGACAGGCGCTGCCAGGGCAGCCGCCTTGTTCGTGGCGGGCCACATGCACACATCAAACAGCTTCTAAGAGCAGCCTTATCACAGCACATTAACCTCACATAAACATGCATGAACCCTGGGTCGGGGCAGGAGGGCAGTGTGTGTGTGTGTGTGTGTGTGTGTGTGTGTGTGTGTATACCCACCCATCAATTTGTTCAGAACAGCCTGAACACACGAACAGTGTTCTGCTGTTTGATATCAGACTATACTGACTTCTATCAACAATTAGTAATCTGCCTAAAAGTGCCTTCAGGCATATTACTTTTTTATGTGATGCATGCATTTAATCTCCTTTGATGTAAATATGTACTTGAGATAAACATGATGCCTAATTACACATGTACTAGAGCAAGTTTGCCACAAGTCCAAGGTTCAAACAAACACTTGTACAATACAATAACTGTCTACTCAATTGATAGGGCATTTTGTAAAGGAATACTTGGGAAAACGTTCTCGCCCTCTTCTGGTGAATGAAGAATCCAAGAACAGACAAAATTCTTAATGAATTGAATTCATAGGCGACCACGTTTAATAATAGCAAAGCTATATCAAAACATTTGTTTACAAACTCTCACACAACTTATGCAGTATAATCTAAGTCTCATTTAACCAGTCATAATCAGCGGCATAGCTCAGTATTTTTCTAGAATCGTTCAATTTTGTTTCGTTTTTTACCTACCAATTTCATGGCCTCCTGATTATAGTGACAGTGACACTGATCTATGAATGTTTTTCCCCCCTTTTTTCGTCTTTTCTCATAATACTCAAGGCCTCGTTGTAAAAACAGCTCTATTATTAAGGTTCCACATTGCTGCAGATGACTGCACTAGTTAGATATCATATGTTCAAACTGTTACAGTGTCATTGTTAAGTATGTTCACTGAACATTGTTAAATAGCCTTATAAATAACTATAAATCTCATCATTATGTTGGATGTCTTTAATTTACTACTGTCCTGCATTAGAATGAAACATATTTTTCACTTTAACTGGTCTCTAAATTACATTTGTGGTGCTGAAAACATCATAACAGCAGCTTGTACCACATTTGGCGCTTTTATCGCAAAAATTAACAATTTTTTAGCTATGCCGCCCAATTTATTAGTTTGTTGGCAGAATTACACAAAAACTGCATGACGGATTTTCACAAAATTCAGTGGAGGGATGTAACACATGCCAGCTTAGAATACATTTAATTTTGGTGTTGATCCAACTCAGGGGGCGTGTCCACGGGCCGCCCACATATGGCCGCCCATTCACTTCCATTAATTTTTTGGTTGAGGATTAGGTAAAACCTGACCAACCGGTTTTCACAAAACTTGGTGGAGGCATGTAGCATGGTCCAACTTAGAAGCCATTACATTTTGGAGTGGATCCAATTAATTGAATGGAAGGGAAGGGTCCATGGGCAGGTAGGATTCAACTGCCTGCTCTGGCCACCAGGGGGCGAGTTTCTGATGCCCCAATATCCAGATTTGTTCTTAATATATTTGTCAACATATCTGCCAAATTTGGTGCTTTTATCACAAAATGAACGATTTTATAGCTATGCCACCCCACTATCATATGTTCAGTACTCCCCAAAGTAATTAAATGGAAAGTGAAACTTAATCTATGCTCTCTTCAAAGCCATTTTACCTCTCTGAACACAGGAGCTGCTGGTCTACCATTGTTTCGATTAGTAGTTTGTGTTACTGTGTGACTTTGGTGAATCCAAACTAATACTTTAAAACACCAAAGTCACACAATAACACAAACTAACTAACTAACTGATTTAGACAGCAGTAGACCAGCCCCGCTGGAAGTACTATGCATACGACTAGATAAATGAGATTTGGATTATACTGCATAAGCTGTGTGAGTTAGCCCTTTTTTTGTTGTTAAACCCCTGTGACTTCAACTTATCAAGAATTTTGTCCGTTTTTTGGATTCTTCATTCACCCATGGCAATAAAGAAAAAACATGTCCTCAATGAGGACTGAGTGATCGATATACAAATGGTAATTTGGGGGATGAAAAGCTATTCCTTTAATGTTTTATTTTCCCTTCTATCTTGCTAACTTAGGCGGTCCCACAAAAATGCATAAATGTTTTTTTCCAAATGTTCTTTCCATGTGTTCACAAAAACACATGAATGTTTTTGTTGCAGATGTTTTTGTTGCTTTCAAATACAAATGAGAACCATGTTTTCTTTATGTTATTTGGAAAATCCACGTAGTTTGTCTTGAAGTTTACAAAGCACCATTTTCTGGGGCCACTTGGGGGAAGCAAGCAACACAGGCCGTAAACACAACACTGACATATTATCAGCTTATAAAGTTAAAATGATGAGATTGTTTACAAGAAGTTGCTTATGTACACATCCAGCCAATAAAGAGCAATATTAGCATCATTTAAAGTCATTTTCTTTGTCTACCAGATGGATGAAAATTGACTTTTTTAATTCTCCTTTGAGCTCTGTTTTGGTCTCCACCAGCTCCTACGAAAAATTCCTGTCTCTTTCGCCGTTAAATGCTCGGTTATTTTTACCAGCTAGTTGCCAGTTTTGTCAGTGTACTGTCTGGTGCTGAAAACTACACTGGTGAGATCGGAGATTGAACCTAAACAATAATGCTGTGGGACATAAAACTAAAACAATGAGTTAAAAAAGATGCTAAGATGCTCTCGATTCAGGTGCTAATTATCTTAAGGTTTGTCATGATAAGCAACCCCCTTCACACATTCAGTAATTTGAGCAATTGTTAACGTAAAAATATGGAAAAAAAATATGGTAGCATAAAAAGTATTTTTCCCACTAATTTTCTTTGCAGTGAAGTATGAGCAATAAAATCATATTTTCATCTAGATAAATATTTTATTGTTGCCATGGTAATACTATTACAATCATCTCATGCCATAAGTGAAATGTGAAAGACCTAAAGCACTATGCTGCATGTGGTCTATCTGTGTAGACAGGTATTTAAAACTGAAATATTATTACCATCATATGCACTTAAAATCATACTGGAAAACATGTGAAACAACACATTTGGACATCATAGAGACTGCAAAAAATATATATAAAAAAAACAAATATTGGGAATGTTTCATATGGCCTACAGCAAAACTATCGTAGTTAAATAAATTAAACACATGATCTCTATGTGAAACAAACACACATAACGTGAATCCTTTCTGCAGACACATACAGCAAAGCAAGAGATAACACTGATACATAAAGTACAATACAATCATATGTCAGTGAGACACATGACACGGGCTATGGTGGTTAGTTCCTGATTTTCACTTTTTAAAAATATACTGCATATCTATTTATATATTCATATAAACAACAACAAAACGTCTGATAATTTCCTTTTTTTTATATTTCTAAAATACATCTATATAGAAACAATATGTACAATTTCCCCCAGAGTAAAACATTAAACAGATTCTTCTAAAATGGAAGAATAAATTAAGGTCCAGGGAGGAATACCCCTGTTTGTAAGGCCGGTGTGGGGGGGGGGGGGGGGGGGGGGGGGGGGGGGGGGGGAGGTTAAGAGCTGATAGACATATTGTTTGTCTCACACACACACTCTCTTTTACTCACACATTCGCGCGCACACACACACAAAGGCCATATGGTTCCAGGTGTACTTACTGAAGGTATTTGATATTCAGCAATGTTCTCGTGTTCATTCACTAAACAGTCGCCTCAGTGAGAGCTCATATTCTCAGAGGTTTGAATGTTGTGTGTCTTTTGTAACACTGTAATTCATAAGGGAACTGACATGTTGTGTAATGTCAGCAAGATGCCCGATAACACTTCCTGTTTGTGAGCTTTCGCTTTTCTTTCCTGCTGCATTCTGTGTACCCGCTCCTGCTAACTAAAACCTCATGAAACCTTTATGTTCCAAGAAACCTTTATGAACTTACATGCTCTTCGAGGCCTCACTTTGTAAGAGTCATGCTCTATTGACATGATTTACCATTCAACACAAACGTTATGTTACCTAACACCTGTGGAGTGTACTGTTACCTGACAGCTAGAGCTGATTTCACATCCTTTCTCCATGCTTTTTTTTCATTAAAGTCTCTGGGAGTCTCCACACTCTCGCAGCCTCCTCTAGGTCTCACGACGCATCGCCAGACCTCGCTTTACATGCGCTGACACATGAAACCACATGTGAGAGTTTATATAGTCCCACTTGATACTCTACTAAAGGAGCGCAGTCCATGTCTGTGGGATCACTGTCAACAATGTGCAGAGGAAGACGAGTAAAGATGGTGAGAACGAGGAGGTGGTCGGTGCTGAAGATACGTGGTGGTAGTTGTGGTGGCTGTGGACTCTGTCAGGTGGCTGCACTGTGATGTAACCATTGATGATGCGAACCAGTGGGGGAGGCGGAGACTGGACCATAGAGCTGTAAAGTTTAGAAAAGAGAGTAGAAAAGACACATTAGATTAAAAAAATCAATCTTTATTTATGTTTTAAAGCCCCCCAAACAAAAACTTTCTACACCACCATGCCGCCCCGGATATTTATATTACTGTGGCATATTTACTATGAATACAGTCCATCTGATGATTGTTTTGTTTCTGTTTTTTACCGTTTAATCACTACTACAAATGCACCTGTAGCCAGTATCTCACTATCACTACAGCTACAAATTATATTCAGCCACAAAATAAGCCTGAAAAGCTGGATATCAGAACAGAAGTACAGAGAGTTGTTGCATAGAGATGATACACATCTCATCTAGTTGCATTGGTGTGAACCGGCAGGTTTTCAGAATGTTGCAGAACAGCACATTGCAAATAGTCGCATGTTTCAACTCGTCTCGTTACGAATCTTTGGGCTGAACTGGGCTATAGTTTGACATTTAGGGCCACTGACCAGGCATGGGTATTAAGTTGGGAGTGAGAATGTGCTGTCCTGCAGGGGCTGTGCTGAATTAATATCTAAAGTATGTTTTTTCCTAGCTTTAAATTTGATTGCTGCTTATTTACATATAGCTATTTAATATTATAGAAAAATACCTTGAATTTTACACCAAGTTTTCAGGCGCCACTGACATATGTTATGAGCATAACGACCCAAATGTAAATTTTAATTGCAAAACCGGCTGTCCAGTTTGCATTAATTTCAGAAAAGGGCTGAGACAGTCCAAATGAGCTGTGTGGAATCATTTACTCTGGGTTTCAACTCAAAAACCTCCCCTAATTCTTGAGTTACAGCAGTTTGGGTAAAATCTTATTATTTCCACACTAATTTACATACATATATTTTTAAACACGCAGCCTTCTGTTTTATCTTTGCAATGCTAAGCCACTATATGATCTTTGGAACTGAGGGGAAAATCAAGAAGTAATCTGCACAAGAACAGGACTCTCTCTACATTCCCATACCATCCACAACTGCCAGAGAAAATATGCAGACAGCAGGAAAAAAACAATGGAAATATTGATGATGGTGAAGGCTACAAAGGAAAGTTTCTAGACAAAGGAATCCACTGCTACAGCACTGACCAATCAGTAGAGATTTTACAAATACAAAACTCCTGGGCGTGCAACACATTGATCAGCTCATGGCCATAAACCAACAGCCAATCAGACTGCCTGCTCTCTTTTTCTTCCTCTCCCAATATTACACATCCTGTCTGTCTCTCTTTATCTGTCCTTTTATAAACAAGTCTGGCAATTAAATCATTTCTGCTCTCCCGTTTGATGTGGAGACTGCAGCGCTTGTGTGGTTTTGACTGGGACGAGGCCAGGCAAAACAAACACACGAGTTCCTGAAGTCGGGATCTCCTCATACCAGTGGGCTGCGACGGCACTTTGGCACGACACTGTAACATTCAATATTAAAGAAAAGCCATTGCAAAACAGTAATTTTCCATTTTGGAAATCACTGGATTTATGTTTTATTGGGAGAGATTTTTTTGACAAGCATCAACATGAAGAAATCATTTAAGAAGGAGAAATTAAATTATGTCCAAGCCCTAAATTTCTATCATTAGTCCTCATTCTGACTTTGTCTGGAGACAAATTAGAGTGTGCTAACAGGGATTGTTGTAGACAAATGAGCTTGGATGGCCGACTGCAATCTCTCTGGCTGAGGAAGGGACACAGTTGGAAAAGTTTGAAGAGTTGAGCACCAGCCCAGCAAAGATGGCCAAAATATGCTGTGTGCGAATCAGTGATGGATGAGGGAACAACCACACAAATAGGCAACAGGACATAGATGCGGGTGACAAGCCAAAGCAGTAACAGCCCACTCCAGAATCAAACAGAAGCTTGTTTGCAGATTAAACTCGTTTTGATACTGGTCAGTGTGAAATGCTGGGCTTACAAAAGATCAGATATTTCCATCACATATTGCTGGCTCAAGGCTCAAGGCTCAAGGCTGTACTGCCTGCGGCTTCTGGTACCTTTTCGGCAAGATTTATGTCTGCTAAGTTTCTGTAAATATTGAAGCAGATATTCAAGAGTCACAGAGAAAACATTAGGATTTTTAAAGAAGTTACAAAGCGGGTGTATTCAGGTTTGAGGGCTAGAAGTCGTGTAAGGAAACCAGGTGCGTCACATCGCTCTGAGGCCAAGCGTCAAACACAGAATCGTGCCACTGTGACTGCTTCTGCTTCTGCTTTTTGGACTCCCTCTTTCCCTTTCTGACACGGCCATCTTTTCAGACATTCAAATATACAAAGACATGCACCGTGTACACTTTGTAACATGTGTACACAAACAGTCTGTTTCCTTTCCATTCAAAATACAGGGTCTCTCAGAACGAGAGAAAACATTTCTGCAGACATAACGTACACAAACGTTCACAAACCCCCTCTGTTCCCGCGAAGAACAGACGCTACATGGTTTGATTTTTCTTTCCATCTCTAATTTGGAATAGTGTATACTGTAAATGGAAAAATACATGTTCATATGGAGGCAAAAAATCCCCAGATGCTTAAGAGCAGAGTCCTGCAGGGTCCAATTTTGCAAACCATTACCTGCAGCCGGTTAGCTGCAATTACTGATAATGAGGATTTAGATATCGCTGGCATAATTATACGCTAACCAGGTAAAAACTGAAATTAAGAGACAGCAACACCAAACTATATTTTCTTTTTTTCCTCTCACCCAGTGCCCACACCCGGTGCAGGACTCACAGAACGCCGCACTGTTCTTACGCAACATGTCATCTACTAATATAGGAAACATAAGTGACTGAAAGCTGCTCACACTTTGAACATATAGCAGAACTGTTGAGACTATCCCAGCATGCAAGCCAGGGGAAACATCCTTGACAGGTTGCCAGTTTATCACACTAAAACACACAAATGGATAAACTGGATTCTCCCATTCACCTCACCTGCATGTCTTTGGATGGTGGGAGTAAAAGTAAGTTGCACCCAAATTAAAAAATAATTCGAATTCGAAGCTATATGTATAAACCATAGACTGAATAAAAATAATGTACGTAGCTACCGTGATGTCACTCATTGGTTTGCAGACTCATGTTTGGAAGCAATGAGTTGGCATTTTGGGTGTCGCTATTTTGGATTTGGATATTTTGGAGCCAGCAGTGACTTAGATGAGAGGGTGCAGCTATGAAGGAGTGATGCAGGATTTATACTTCTGCGTTGAACTGACGCCATACCTACATCGGCGCAGAGCCTACGCTGTACCCTATGCTGTACCCTCAGCTGTAGCCTGACAGCTACTACATGTAACTACACGTTGCAGCGACGCCGACCTTCTGTCTATGTTTGTACGCTGGGACCATTTGCCTCAGTGGAAACAAAGCTTTTATTCACTTTAATTCACAGATAAGAAACAATAAATTGTGAAGACAATAAAGCCTCCACAAAATAGCATTTTAAGTCTTGTGTGTGATTTATCCTGGCTTCATATGAGCAGAGGAAATCTCCGCTTGTCGCTAGGCTAATTTATACAAAGTATAAAGGCTTGTGCTAATAATGTTAGCATGTTATATATGTTTGGAAAACACGTTCAGTATAAGACAGTTGTTTGGTCCGTGAACCTTGAGTTGTAATGGAGCTACATTTTGTAATGTTATCTTCCTTAAATGTTGCTGTTGTCCCTGGCTTCATATGAGAAGAGGAGAAGTCTGCTAGCCGCTAGGCTAATTTATACAAAGTATAAAGGCTTGTGCTAATAATGTTAGCATGTTATATTTGTTTGGAAAACGTGTTCAGTATAAGACAGTTGTTTTGTCAGTGAACCTTGTGAGCTGTAATGGAAAATAGAAAAGTCTGCTAGCCGCTAGGCTAATTTATACAATGTAAAATGCCATAGGCTTGTGCTAAAAACATTAGCATGTTGTATCTGCGGGGAAAATGATTCAGAAGGGTGGATCTGACTGGGAGCCCAAGGACGCTGTCCGCAGACAGCCTGTCACTCAAAGTGGCAACATCCTTAATTATGTGTAACTTTAAGCCTTAATAAAAATGTATATAGGTGAGTTATATTAGAATTCACCCCTGTACAGTTGTCATGCTAAAGAGACCAAAATCATTTTTGTGCAGGCTGTAAACACATTTATTTCTGCTGTAAAGCTGGGCATTTCAACATCACTTTTGGGGCCAGCCTCAAGTGGCCATTTATGGAACTGCAGTTTTTGTCACTTCTACATTAGCTTTACTTTTCAGCCATACAAGTTGACACTTGGTGTTAACAGCGTAAGAGGAAGAGTTGGGAAAAGTACCATCATGTGCAGACAACTTAGAAATGTGAACCACATATTTTAAATATTGTACTAAAACAATGTGTAATGGTCACCTGCGGCTGTGACAGGACCAGAGTTTATGTTTCTGTATAAACAGACCCAGCCTCCATCTGTATAATGTTAACACTAGCCACAGAAAACAAGCTCTATGTTCCACACAAACTAATGCGAGTATAGGAGGGTTGACATTGGCATGCAAACACAAGCTCATTCAGGAGTCAGATAAAAGAAGAAATACAAACATTGATTAAAAAGAATATTAATCTGATTTATATTATATATTATCTAGGAAGCAAATGCTAATTTCCTGACAATATTACTCAACAGCTTTTTGAATATGTAGCTAGACAAATTAAAGGGTGAATGTATATGTAATTTTTAAAGAGATAATTTTGTCACCTTGTTCTTTAGGCTGATGATTGTGCAGTTAATTAATGTATTGAATTTAAGTTGAGTTGTTCTAATATAACACATAATATATTTAAAATCATTAGTCAGCGAGAGGTCAGCAAGGTGGCTAGGTGGCTCTGTCTCCTCACAGCATGGGGCCTTTTTGTTGTGACGTTTGCATGTTCTCCTCGTGTTCGAGTGGGTTTCCTTCAGGTGCTCCAGTTTCCTCCCACACTCTATGGATGTGCAAGTCAGGTGAACTGGAAACTCTAAACTGCCTGTAGGCGTGAGTGAATGTGGTTGTCTGACTATATGTGTTGTATATGATGAGACAGCCTCCAACTCTGAGCAGGATGAGTGGGTGTAGAAAATGGATGTAGGTTTCAAATTAACCTCTTCGCTCTCTGCCCACATGCATAATCGTATCCCTGACAACATAACATTTTGCGTCTACAACAATCTAAAATAAGTTCCAACACGGCAGACCACACCTTGTGCAGAGGTCTCCTTTTTGTCTGAAAGGTGAGCTTGTTTTGTTGTCCGGTTAGTCCCTGCCTGGAGCTACTGTGAGACCAAAACCGGATACTTAGTAGGAATTCCCAGGCTGCTATTTTCACATCCAAGACACTTATACCAGCTAGGAACTAGTCTGTACTCATGCCACACTGCAGGGTGTGTGTGTGTGTGTGTGTGTGTGTGTATGTGGTGAAGTGTGTGCAGACTGCATTAAGAGTATGGTGATGTGATACAGTGGCTGTTTGAGCCTGCGGCATCACACCAGGAAGTGTCAGTTCTACTCTATAGACAGGTGGAAGGACTGCATTACACATTTCCAATTTCCCCTCGCTACCCTCACATCCTCTGTCTTTCTTCTCTCAGCCTTTCCCGTTATACTCTTCTCTTTTGTTCCCATCTGTGCCCCTTTGTCTGACCTTTTCTACATTTCTCCTCACCCCCCTTTCACAGTAAAAGAGGCAGTCATTGATGACATATGTTTATCTGAAACAAGATCCCATACACGCTCATCCTCGACCCACCCCCCCCCCCGTCCTCTTACCTCTCCTCGATGCGAACCCAGAGGTCGTTAAAATGCCGGTGCCGCTGTTTCTTTTGCTTGTTCCTCCTCTTTTTCTTCAGCATTTTCCTCTCTGCTTTCTCCAGCAGCTCCAGGCTATCTGGCGGCAGAAGCATGTGGGGTAGCAGGTCATCCTCCAGGGGACGCCCCTGATCGTCCTCTTTGTGGGGGAGCTCGTGGAGGAAAGGCTCCAGGAGAGGGGACTCGTCGTGGTGGTCTTCTGACCCTGGCGAGTCGGGCCTGGATGATGATCTCCTAGAGGGTGCACATCACAGGAACATGAGATGGGAGACTTTTGCAACAGTTAAATGTGACATTTAATGTCAGCATATGTCATGTGTCCTACCTCTCTATAGTTCAAGGACCTGCGGAGGCTTTGTTAGTTCAACACAGACTGTAGACTTTGATTGTTTGCATGCAAATTACAACTGACAAATGTGAATCTCAGCAATATTTGTTTTCATGTATTTCATTAATGCATGTCCCTTTCAGTGGGGTGCATGGTAATTGACATTTTGCAAAATACCAACATGGGCCAAATTCATGCCAGTACATAATTGAGTTTGGTTTGAAGGGACGGGCTTAGTCACCTCAGGTGGAATCTTGCAGATATGAAGCGCATGTGAGAATTAGATCCTGAACAAATGGATTAATGGCGGAGAAATTGATTAAGCTGCTGAGTGTTTTCTATGGATGTTGTAATATATTTTGGTATGTTTTCGCTGTGACGTTGGAATCCACTGTAACTGTTGTGAATACAGCCTGACTATAGATGCCAGTCTCTACAACAGTTTCAGGTCTACAGATGCTGAATTTATAGATTTCCTTCCATGTGACATGGTGAAAGCGAATGTCCCATTGAAAAGGTATCACTGCAGCCTGGAAAGGACGTGTGCAACCATGGTCAAATTAAATTAAAGGAGAGTGGAGGAGAGGAGGAATTCCTGCTATGTAAGAAGAGGTCATCGTGGACTTTCTAAAAACAAATCTGGAAAAACAAATGAAAGCACCGGAATGGGAAGTATGAGAACAAAACCAAAACCCATCTTTAAAAACAATATTGCCTCTAATGAGCTGCTGGCCATCTCTAATGGGATTAATAACTATTGTCAACAATCACCACGCATGCTGAGGTTTAGCAGATATGTGCAGTGCACATCCAGGTCTTGTGTGAATGGAGAATTCCAGAGATTAACCTATGACAGCGGTCCAGTGTGACTGCGCCATATGCAGGTTCATCACAGGCTCATAATCCTGCATCAAACACAGAGCCTGTGTGTGAAAGTAGATTCACTCATTCATTTAGTCACACACACACACACACACACACACACACACAGCAGAGCATAGATCTGCACTGAGATAGCCACCCGCACAGTGTGCTATGGTAGAGTGCACTACATGCTTCACAGCAGGAGGTATGAACTCTGCTGAGGTTGGCCTTTTCAACAACACTTCACTGGTGGCCGGTGGGGATTTTGTCAGATTTATCTGTGCTGCAATCTACATAGTTGAAAAAAAAAAGAAAGCCCCAGTGAACAAGGGACATCACTGAGCATATTTTTTTCCTTAAAAATGAAAAGAGCAAACATGAGATCCCTACAGCTATCCCACCACCGCACCACACTCCTTGATTCCAAGTACTCAATTACACATAAGGGACTGCAGCTCCGTCGATCAGACTTCCCTTTGCAAAAAACTCAAGCTTGGATTAAAGTAAATGTTTGAGTTCCACAGTTTCATAGCCACAAGTCATATTTTTTAAATCTTCTGACAACATCTGGGAGCACAAAATAAATTGGAAATGTTTATAGTTATTTAAAACTGTAGTTTGCTTTTATAAAAAAAAAATGCAAAAATAAAAATGTTTTTGTGATATTTGATGAAACTGTCACTCTATCCTGACGGTAGCATGTGGGACAGATAATATATAGGAAAAAAAAAATATATTTCTCCTCCTCTTCCTCCTGGTGCTTCTCCTGGCATTTGCAAGAATCCACTGCACTGAACAAAAACAACCAATCAGAGCTGAGAGTCTCTAACACTGCTGTCAATCATGCTTGTGCTCGCCATTTCATGCCTCAAATGTTCTCAAACACATATTTAAGTTCACTGTTTAGCTGTAAAATAAGAAAGTTTGTGACCATGTTGAAAACAGTCAACCCGAAACAAAGCCAAACCCCACTGGCCTAAGCAAACGTTCTCATTTCACAGCTAAACAGTGCACTAAAATATGTTTCTGAAAACATCTGAGGTGACAAATAGGCAATGCAAGAATAACATTTAATTTTTATGAATAGTCGCAGTCAGCTCAGGATATTTCTCAACTTCAAAAACCAGTCTGTGTTTCACAGGTGGAATGCTTTTCAAGTTAAGCAGCAGTAGTAACTTAGTACAGCTCTGATTCAGCACTGCGATAGTTAACAGTGTGTTGTTTCATGTGTAGGGCAAAAATATATTCAGCATGGGAATGGCGGACCCCGCCACAACAAGAAAATACTAATATAGAGAGAGATGAATACATTGAGTGGCTTTTACTGAAAAAATGCTGATTAAAAATAGTATCAAAGACAGGATATTGATTTCATTCAAATGTTAAAGATTAAAACTTGAAAGCTCACTGCTAATGGATAATGTTCACAGCTTGTCTGTTTCAGATTAAGAATGATAGTTCAATCCAACGGTAACAAAAGAGAGCAAATTAATGTAGAGTTGACTGTTGGCTAATCCTATCTAAAGTTGATAGTATAAAGCCAAAAACACATGCCGCCCCGAACACACACTGGACGCATTGCGCTGCAGCTCGTCAACAGACAACCACACAAAGTTATCACTACTTTTACTGAAAGATATGTACTTCCTCCACCTCTGCATTAGCTTAGAATCAAGTGTGCAGAGCCCCCAATTAAACTTGATTTCTCACCTGAAGAGGCGATCTCCAGAGCTATGACACACCAGAAAATATCTTTTTGGCCGTTGTCTTTGTAATGAAAGGATTGTGGGTCGTTTAACTCGGGATATCCCTCTGCCTCAACAACAAGTCTCTCCTTATCCATTCTTTGTCACACACGAGACACAGAAACAGCTAGAGCTCTCTTTATACATCAAAGGTGAGGTGCGGAGTCGAGCTGTCACAGGAACAGAGAAAAAGAGCTGCTATGGGAGCTAGTGTGCAAGCAGACAGTGAGTGAGGGAAAATGCATTTAATTACCGGGGTGGTGAGGCTGGAAATAGGACAGTGGCGTATAGTGGTGGATCCAGGAGCGCCGGCGCGTATCTTGCCGCCACCAGTGTGAGTTGTACACTGAAAACAATAAGGGCGTGTTTTTGACACACAACATTTGCTGCCGGTGTGTTAGCACAGGTAAGTTTATAATTTTAGTGCTTAAAGTTTAAAGGCAATGACGGTCCTTTTTATCTCCTCTTACAACAACAACAGTCTTATGAATCCGGTTATTTCTTTTTAGTGATCAACAACGTCGACACCAAAATCAGTCTCTCATGTGATTAGTAGATTTGTGGCTTACAGTGTCAGTAGTTAAGGTAAATTAATAAATCTTACAAATAAGGCGATGAAACAAATACTCATGTTCCGGGACACTTGTAGACAGTGAGTACTCAAAAAAGGAGAATCACTCAACGAATAACTACTGAGAGCAGTTTTTCATTATTTGCAGACAACGCATTTCTCACAAGGGCCAGCAGAACTTGAACATCTGTTTTGAGTCTGCAAAGCAACACAGAGCAACTATGGAGTTGTGCTTACTTGGAAAATGATTTCCCATTTGAAATCCAGTCAGTGAAGAAGTTGAAAGAAATATATATTCCTGTCAGGGCCATGAGGCAGCGGTTGCCCTGTAAAATGTGGCCGGGACATGAAACCTTACACTCATTTAAGTGATAAAATATGGGCCTTCGAGTTTTACAGACTCATGTTTTAAGAAGAAATCATGATGTGCAACAACTATGGCGAAACATAATATTTTCTGCCTAGTTCTGCATCCGTCATCTACGTATTTCTCACGTTCTCAGCAATTTTCTTGGTCAGTCTCTTCTGTCTTCTCTCATTTCTCAGACATTTCTTCTGGTTTTTATGGGAAATTGTTGTTCAAAAAACTTGCTGGAACTGAAAAAAGCCCTGAACAAATTATTCCTTTACCTTTGTCTCCCTGAATTAGTTCACCTAACCCAACATGTGCCACATTATAAATCATTTTAAGGTTGATTTTTAGAGTTTTAATGATTGTGTGAAAGGTTTAAAGTTTGTATCATGTCCAGATTTGTACCAAAATCAGGCTCAGCAGCAATATACAATTTCCTGTCATCAGTGAAACTAAAGCTTTTGCGTTTTTGTGGCCGATTTAGCCGACACTACAATTTCAAGTATTTAGAGGGGGAAAAAAATTGATTTCAGGAGGACAAACTGCAGTAATTTTGTAAAGTTAGGAGCTCATATAATATTAGGGCACTAGTTAAATACACATGTATTCACATGATGAAACACAAAATGCAGTCCACTAAATTTAGATGATGTGTATGTGTGAGTGTGTGTGTTACTATGTGTGTGTGTGTTTAGGGAAATTAAGGCAGTAAATTTACCTGTTTACGGGCTGCCCAGCAGGGGTGTGCTCCACCTCATATCCCTGGCGGCGAAGCACATCAATGACTGTGTTGTTGCCGAGAAAGTGACCTGCGACCGAAAAAAAAAGAAAAGTGATGACCTCCACCTCTGAATGCTAATAATGAGAAACAGCAAGCAAATTGAAACAAGACATATACGATCCTTCTAACTGTACTGTTTCAGAAGATCATAGGAAAAGTGTAATGAAGTCCTTGCTATGGTTTAAATACAGAGATAAAGGTGTTGGACTGGTGTTAACCATGGAGCTGGAGCTGGGAGGCAGTTAGCCTGGTTTAGCATACACATTAGCATAGCAACATTATTTAGTAAGTAAAGCTAAAGTCTGACACCCTTGCGCATGTAGTCACACACTATATGATTTTGCAAAGACTGAGGATCTCACAGGGTCACTATTTGAGATTATTTCCCATCCTGCACCTGGAGGACAATATTACATCAAACTCCCTTTAAGAAACATGACATATTAACAGTTCCTTAAGCACATAACTCTGGCAAAATAAGATAAAAGGCCTCATATGTTGACAGTATTCTTGTCAATTTAGCATCAGTATAATCCAGTGGCGGCTGCTGGTCTCAAACAGGGGAAGCTCACTTTAAGTTTACATCAGTTTTTCAACCACACTCAAGCCATAGATTTTCAGGTGGGTTTAAACACCTGAACTGTACTGTACAAATGAGGTGAAAATGAGCTATATCGCTTATGGAAATAAGAAACTCCAGATAGCACTCTGTCAGAAGACTCCACTCGCAAATATGCGCATGGGACTGAGCTCGAAATGCGCCGATGCCGTGTATTTCCAAAGCGCTGTCAATCACAAAGGGGTTCAGCCTTTTAGACAATTCCTCCAATCATCATGCATACACCGAGCGTCCTCTCCCGCCTACCGCTCCATTAGGTCCCAGGGAAGCTGAGCCTCCCTGGAAGTGATGATTTTGTCGCATTTATCCAATGACCGTCTCGCTTTGCTGCATGAAAAAAAACCTGCTCAGCACTGTCTCATAGGAATGCTTGGAGGCTCCGCGTCCACCGTGCTGACACGAGAATGTATGACAGGGAGGTCGCGTTTGAAAACTGGTGATAAACAGCTGACGTTTGAACGGGTCCATGTCATTGGTTCGAGAGCTCATTGGTTCGACATCCCATTAGTCCGACAGTCCGCGGTGCTGAACGGCTCGCGGCGGGCGTATGGTGCGCCGCAACCGGCTTGAGGTGGAGCAGGCTCACGGCTTATGTGTTTGTCACTTTCTTTTTCATTTTAACCCACANGGCGTATGGTGCGCCGCAACCGGCTTGAGGTGGAGCAGGCTCACGGCTTATGTGTTTGTCACTTTCTTTTTCATTTTAACCCACACCATGATCTTTTCCTGACCCTAACCAAGTGGTTTTTGTGCCTAAACCTAACCAGACCTTAACCACAGGGTATCATGATGATTTCGGAACGGACTTCGGAACAATGAGTTTAATATGGTCGGAACAATGGGCTGTCGAACCAATGGGCTGTCGAACTAATGGGCAGTTCCTGTTTGAACGTCATAGTCATGAGGTTAAATGCATCCTAGCGCATGTTTAATGCAGTGTAAATTCTTATTTTAATGTAAATTCAATAGTGCATATTTGACCATTTCTTCTATGAAATTTTAGAGGAAGTTCAGCCTCCCTTGTTGTCTCAGAGCAATCGCCCCTGGTATAATCCATTAAGATAAACTGTAGTTGCGTACAAACTTTACATTTTGGATTTTGTCCCCTCAGCTCCCTACCAGCGTCCGTTTTGTTGGTTGAGCTATTTTATTGAGAGGAGATCGTGGGAATGAGAGGTGAACCGTGTCAAAAATTGTTGGTGGATCAGATGAACACGAATTAAACACGGACTCTTGTTCACTCCACCAGTTTCTCCTCCTTTTCCACAGTGCAAGGGAACCAACATGTGTTTGTGTTCTTGTACCTCCCCAGAGTCTCCTTCGTGTTTACTGTCTTCCCAGTGACAACGTTCACATCATTGAACTTTATTGTTTGGTTGTATGTGACTAAAAATTAACGATAACATTAAACATTTTGTCAAATATCCATCCAAGAAATAAACTGACTTGTGACAGCTGGGACTGAGCTTTATGGTCACCATACACCAAATGATCTGGATCACGGGAGCACAGTGGAAACACTTGAAAAGTTGTCATTGAGGAAACAAATTAAATAATTTCTGAAATTTTGAACTATTTCTTTCTCCTTGTGTCCTTTCATGCTTCTGCTGGCTACTGAGCGCTTTCACCTATTCCATGCGTAATCATCTCACCTCACCTTTTTCCTCTACTCCTCTCTTTTAACGGACTACCCTTTGTTTCATTTCTCTTCACCTCCTTTTCGCTCTTCCGCAGTCCTTGATTACCCCCTACCCACCCCCCCTCATATCTGCCATCTTTTCTTCCCCCTCTATTTTCATCTCTCCATTCTCCTCCTTCCTTATCTCCAGCTTCCCCTCGTCTCCCTCTTCCTCTCGCTCTCGCTCTGACCCTCTCAGCTACGTGAAGTGGGGACATTGAGGCTTCAGGTTGCCATGTCAAGAGGTCTCCATTCTTCCCCTCACTCTGACAAGGGGGAGCAGGGGCCCATTGTTTGGGCCTGCTCAGCCGTGGCACCACAGAGCTGTGTAAACAATGAGCCCCGGCACTTTAATCTGGCCCAGAGCCATCGATAGAGAGAGGTTGGCCTCGATGCACTTTGGGTGCCATGATGCTGCCCCATCTCTAGAACTAATAAGGGTTGGCTAAAACTATGTCCCAGTGTGGAACGGCCATGGAAGAGGACCGAGGGGGTACTAGGAAAAGTGCAATGCAACATTTGATCGTTAGTAACCTTTTTTTAAACAAGTTTTCTTGGTAAACGCAAGAGCATTTCGTTTGCTTAGCCACTTTGAGAGGAACAATGTCCAGCAACAATGAAGCTTGATGGACCTTTAAAAAACTGACAAGCTTTGTACGTGTCTTTACTTCGTATTTGATCTGTCTCTGACCTTATGTTTTACCATTCTTTGAGTGAAGGGGCTTTTATCTTACTTGGGCACCTCTCTAAATCATCTCAGAGCTCCTGTCAAAGAATAACCAATGGCTAGCATGCAAACGACACGTGAATTTATTTTCTGCTTCGAGCTGAAACCATTATCAATACAGGTGGTCAGTCAAATGAATACCCTGCAGCTCTTAAACTCTCCATGGGAGTTGGAAACCAGACACAGGGACAGAGTTTCCCAGCCTGCCCACGTTTAGAAACAACTCAGTGTGATTTATGTGAGTTTACGTCAGGGGATTAAGGTGGGACAAATGGAGCTGTTCGGCACAATGTAGGGCCACAGAAGGGTGGGCGGACTTCAGAACTTCAAAGGGACACACACGCATACAAATACGTATACACACGCAAATTCTAATAGGAGGTAAACCATCAATTCTGACGTGTCCCCAAAGGCTTGAGTGTGATTTTGGGGGCCGAGTGTGTGTTTGAAGAGTTGAAAAAAAGCTATTATATGCTTGTGACTGGAGATATTTGGCACCACACACACATACACAAAAAATTTAAAAAAAGAAAAGAAGAAGAAAATGTTGAAAAGTTTTTGAAAATTTGACTCAACAAGTCCAAACCGCAAATCCAAAAATCAGAAGAAGCTTTTTTTATGACATCATATAAACAAAAAATCTCCTTTACAGTGGATTTTCTCCAAATGTGCTTTCCATTTTTGGAGCAGCCAGTGTGTCCTTTAGCAATATCACAGAAAATCACAGATGGCACCGACTGCGTTATTCTCTCAGTATGAATCAGCTGTACAATTTCACACACATTTTTGAGCGTGCCTGTTCTTGAAACATTTTTTATTGAGATTTGATGCTTAAAAACAGATGACACATGAATTTGAAGGAAACAGCACGCTGCAAGCACTGCACATGAAGGCCATCTTTATAACCAGCAGTCCACCTTAACAAGAACACACTTAGAAAAAAGAGGCCGAACCTGCAGCCTGCCGCTGCGCCGAAGTCATGGAATTACAAACAAAAACGAAATTCAGACATCTTTGATTAAAAATGATTGATGGCCCGGAAAGAGGCAGAAAATTATGTTTTAGAAGGTCTGCATTTTCCTGAAATAGGCCTCATGTATGACGTAGCCTTTGGCAACTGGCATGAACTTTGGGGCCTAAATATGGCAGGTGATTTGTGACAACGGCTTCTCCCTGTTTCTCTCTCATACTGCTAATGATTGGAACCAAGCTGTATATTACTTTGTGTTAGAAAGAAAGAAAGGACTCTATATACCAATCTTACATACAATGTGAAATTTATAATTCTTCACATTCTTCCTCTGCTCATGGAGGTGAATTAATTTTCTCTGCAGTATACTAAAGAAAACAATTTATATGGCAATCTTTGTGGGGTCAAACTCTACTCAGGGGTCAGGAAACACTGACAACGCTTTGCGGTGAGAAACACCTGTGCATCCTTTGCCAAACAATCCCACTGCGACACAGCGAGCATCAACACCTGGGTCAGAGAGGACGTTTTAAAAGCTTTAGGGCTCACACAGTGACTCACTGCACACAGCAAAACTACTTCCATACATACTTTTCTCCTTCAGTACTTCCACATTTGCTTCAAAAATAAAGCACACATGATAATTGTAAAAATGCTGACGTCGTGGAGCTCGCTGGTAAACACTGTAGCATTCTCCTGCGCTGTGTTAAATTTGGTTCTGCCAGTCTGGCTTCACAGATGTTTTCATTGCATGGCTCTGTTGAACATGTTGACTCATAGTATCACAATCAGTTTTTCTGGTTATTGGTTGTCTCACGACAAATTCAAACTAGAAGGGCATTCACGGTCACAGGCCTGTGCCATGGCCGACAGTCAAGTCTTAGATATGCAAATAGCGCAACCACTATGTGCGTCTGGATATGTTTCCTTAGAGGAAAACTACACCCACAAATTGACCATTTGTACATCAGTTAGTCATGCTGTGTTACCTTGAATTTGTGGAGAAAACTTTGTTTTTCTTGCATGCTTCCACA